GCAACAGAATTTTGAATTTCTATAAAATACATGAATCATCTTCTGGAAAACACCCACTGATTCTCAGTAGTTTTGTGTCAAAGTGCTCCTGACACCTGTATGATTTATTTCATCTGCCATGATAAGGTACTGCTCTTTATGTGACTGAACTAATTAAATTTCTAGGGAAGAGATATAATTCAGTGACAGAGTGCAGGTCCTGTGTGCAGAAGGCCCCAAATTCAATCTCTGGGACCCCCAGTTTGGACTGGGAAATCCCCTGGATGAAATCCAGGAAAGTTGCTAGCATTCCAGTGTAGATCGTACTGGATGGTTCTTCACTATGAGCTGAGCCAATTATAAACTATCTATGAAAGTAAATATATTCAATTGACACAAGAGTATTAGAGCAAGGGGAAATTATGAACAAATTTACATGAATAAAATCCTGCCATTTCTGAGACTCTTTAGTAATTTACATCTAAAAATATACATTCACTCCCTGATGTAATTTACTATGGGGCCACATTGAAGACATGTGTTTCCAAGAACAAATATAATTACCTTGTTCTCCTCATTCACATGAACAGTATTTTTTATCATTCTGTGGAACTGAGATATGTGAGGAGAATAAACATTTTAATAAAAAATTACAAATATTTCTATTTGAGTGTAAATAATTTCAAGGTAGGGACATGTCCCACAGTAGCTGCAACAGAAGTATTAATTTGAGTGTATGTGAATAACTACAGACATTCTAAAGAAGTGGAAGAGCTGAACCATAGGTCAATTTTGCTTTCACTTCCCACACTTAAGGCATAATCATGCATGAAAGAGAACTAGTAGAGTTTAACCACTCCCACTCTTTCTGCCTGGCATTTGAACATTTAAGCTGTACACATTCTATTTCACATGTAACCATTGCTTTCCATAATGTGGAAAAAAAGAAGCCCATGCTTCCTCTTCCCAGTTGTAAACATTGAAAGATTGATCCAGGTTTGTTTCCTTTATGGGTATGTGTACACTCATAGAAGGAAAAAGGGGATAGTTCCTCTGCTTCAGAATTGTCTGTATCTAGCAGTACTGTTCCAATTTTCCATAAAGGCCTAATTACCTGACTTTACTTGTACACATGAAATAAGATGCTTTGTTCACTGTACAGCTGGAATATTATTCTCAGTTGCCATTCTTGAAGCAAACTACAGGTATTTTTGCCAGGATTACACTTATTGGGCAAGTCGTACGACTGGGGAATAAAGTAGCCTTGGCAGAGGCAAGAAATGTAACTTATCATAGTTGAGTGATGTGAAAGACTACCATCCAGCTCTCAGATTGGACTTTGAATGTGTGCTGTTGTGCTTCGAGATCTTTTCCTCCAGGTGCTTTATTTTTAAAATCTCATTTTATCCTGCTTTAACACTTTAAAGGTTTTATTAGGGTTTCAATTTTTGTGAGCTGCCCAATGACCTGTGGCTGTTGGACAGTACAGAAATGTCATAAGTTAATTTTAAAAACATAGCTGAACAAAGGATTAAGTATAAGTGAAGGAGTAAGGGGTAGAGATAGATGGAACAAGAAAAAAAGTAAGAACAGATACACCCTTTTTGTGAACTTTACTTAAGGACAGGGTGGGTGAACTGTGGCTGTTCAGATGGTTGGGCTCTGTTGAGTAAGGCTGATGAGAACTGAAGATCAAAACACCTGGAAAGATACAGGTTGCCCATCCCTGCTTCTGGGCCAAGCAGAAAAAGGATCCTCGAAGAAGATAGGGACTAGGTTCACATGTCACAACAAGCAATCCTGCATGGTTTCCATGGTGCATGGTTTTTGCCTGGATGTGCCTGATAGATGAACCATCTGTCTAGAAACCATGCTAGTATCTACACTAGCATGGTTTCCATCCTCATCACTCAGTCCTCCTGCTCTTGGTATGCATCCCATCAGCCACCACACCTGAAATTCAATCCCACACTCGATGAATGGAATAGCCCCTGCAGTGGATGCTTTCTGAAGGGGACACTGTGGTACAGGACCATGGAATCCACAATACTAGGTTCAGATGACTGGAGAGACCATGGCAAAGTGTAGAAATCATAGACTAGACCAACTTCTTATCTAAATAGCAAATATACCATACTAAACATGAAATGATTTAGGTGACACAATAGACAAACTTGTACAAGAAACCACCATGGCTTGGCATATCAAGCAAACCCGTCAAGGGAGATTCCTTTTAAAACCTGACTTTGATCATCTTTGTCAAAGGAGCCAGAAATTTAACCAAAAGTTTAAGAGATGTGCATCTCCATAAATTATTGATTAGTTTAGATAACCTGGCAGGCATCCAAACAGGAATTTATAATAAAGAACACATATTAGATTTTAAATCATTTGTACAGAACACGGCGTTTGCAGGCACCAATGTATACCTATATGTTTTTCTTGGTGCCTGACAAGATGTCCTACTTCTTCCAGGTTTTTTGTTTTAACACATTTTCTTACCTGGAGCCAGGATTACTGTGAAATAGGTTTCTATTAGTACTGAAAACTGTGTTCAAATGAATTCTTTAGTGCATTGCAGGTCGTACTTTTCTCTACTCAACCTTTCGAGCAGATTACATGTCTCATGCTGTGCCTCCCAAGGAAGCCATTTTATGGTCATGTCCAGGACAGATTGCTAAATGTGCCCTGACCCATGGCTAGGTTTAAAGGTGTGGCCATGAATATAGGCATTTATCCTTATGTGCATTTTAAGCTCACAGTACTTATTTAACACTCCAAGGGTAATCTAGTGACCTGTGTTACCTACTTGGTCACATTTTCATCCATCCACTGCCAAGAATGGTTAAGCTGATGAGCAGTTGCTCTACATCTCTGAAATTGGCAGACATCACTGGGGTCCTTCTTTGCAGTCTTTGGGAAGGCTCTGAATATTTCTCTGTACTTGCTGGTATCTCCATGCTTTGGGGCTGCATGTTTTATTAGTGCTGCCTGTTTTATACTATTTTAAATTGGACATTTATTTATTGCTTTTCTATTGTATTTGCATAGATTTGTATTATTTTTACCTTGTATGTTGCCTGAGAAGGCCCTGCTCTTGTTTTTTAAAAATAAAAACAATGCAATTACAAGAGGAGAGATATTAAAACTGAATTGATAGCAGTTATTTCATTTTTTTAGAGTTTAACTGGAAAATTGTTATAATGCACAACATTTTTTTTAAAAAATCCACCTTATGCTTTCGGATTCAATTTCAGTTCATAGTCAATGACCTTATGTATACTGAATAGTGGTGCTCCTTGTAACCTCATCTATTTCGCTCCACTTAAAATATAAAGGAAAGATATCATCTCATGGACACAACTGATTCTTATTCTGAAATATCTGTTATTCAAAAAGTTACAGAGCTAGAGTCACAGCTGAAGGAAACACACAGAATGGAATTTCTTGCCACCCCCTTGCAATAAATCTTATTAAATTACAATACAAAACACCTACTGCAGGCATCTGTGCAAACAATTAATTTCGCAGGGGCAGCCTTACCATTAGGACAGAATGTGACTACCTCCTGAGGTAGCTCATTTTGGGTATCATGAAAGGGCAGCAAAGCATTATTTATTTATCTGTATTTTTAGGGATGAGCAGCAGTTAAGACTCCTGTCGAATTTTCTGCCTCAGGTGCCCAAATATCTTTGTTAGCAGTACTTGACTTGGGGAAAGTGAGGTACCATTTGTTTCTCAGCCACATGTATCAAAATGACTTGGGGCAGGCTTGCTCAGGAATATTGCAGAGTTTTATGAAATGAGAACTGGTTTCAAAAGCAAGATAGACGGACAGACAAGACAGAAGAGACAAAATGGTAACTGCTACAGCACACTGATGGCTACAAGATGGGCAGGAAGTGAACGGGGGTAGGAAAAAAGAATATCATATGACAAGCAAGGAAGAGGGCAAATTATTAGAACACGATGTTTTCTTGGAAATGTTTTTATCAAGAAAAGTGATCCAAGACTTTTTTTTCTGCACAACATGCAAACTATCTGCATTTTGAATGTAGATGTAGCAAGATCATTGAGGACTTATGCAACTGAAAAACAATAACCACAAAATTAAGGGTCAACATTTCCATCTAACTCTCAGAATTGATGAGAGTACTCCAAGTATGTTTTATTTATGAATATTCCACAAGTCTGAATATGATGGATATTCTGCCAATCTACCAGCTGTCTTTCTGCTTCCTCCCCATGAAAATCTGCACTGGCTGCTGAAGCTGGTCTGTTGTTTTATGGCTCAGCACATTTCCCCAGCTTCCACTAGTGCAATGGGAATTCTTCTGTTCTGGTGTTTGACTAATTCTGGCACTTAAAGGTTATGGGAACTAACATTAAAGTGGGGTTAAATGGCAACAAAAATATAATGAAATCAAAAGAATTTTTCTCAGCATAGTTGATTAACTACAACATCAGGCTGAAAGTTAAATAAACAGAAAGTCATGGGAAAAACTACACAAGGGGAAATGGATAGATATCACTTTTTATTTTCACAAAACCCTTTCATTAAAAATGTTGAATTCAGTTTTTAGAGCAGGTCCTCTCAAGCTGAAACCACAACTACTTGCAACATAGTAGGAGTGGGGGAGGAAATGGGGAAGGGAGGGAGATTTTGGCTTATATGGCAGATGTCACTGGATGATGGACTTTGCTTTACATTTAGAATGCTGTCAACACATAAAGAAAAAACACTTTCTGATCCTCTGCCAACTGCTGCATAAGCATTTGAATCAATAAATAATCTTCTGGCACAGAAAGCGTATATTCATGTTCCCACATTCTTTTTTTTTAGCAAAAAGGCTTATCTTGTATGTTTTGCAGATGTTTCTTCAAGACTGAAAAGCAAGAGAACACCAAAGAATAGATTTGTCAAAAATCATTCAAGGCATGTTACAAATTCACAAGCAAAGCTGATGCGTAGAGGTGTTTATGTTTTGTTTTGACTAATGAATCACACCTGGGAATTCAGGTTCCTTTAAAAAACAAGTTGTGTTTTATTTATTATTAAACACTTTTATATACCACTTTATAAAAAGGATACCAAAGCTGTGGGCAGCATAAAATTCATAGTATAAAATACAAATAAATAATCACATGCTCAGCAACAAGATTAAAGGTTTCAGGAGAAGCCACTGTAAAACTATTAAGAAGTTGCCTAAAACTTAAAAGGTGTAAACACTCTAAAACCTGTCTTTCAATTCAATTGAGAGGGATTGCATTTTTGTTGACCATGGCCACTCCCTCTCCCTAACCCTCAGGATGAGGTTGGTGCTGTATAGAATACCTGGGTGGGCAAAGCTGTGTAAGCGTATCACCCCTAATTCTCCCACCCAGGTCTCTGTAATACATGCCAATTAAACCCTTGATTAAATCATGGACAAGAGCTGTTTTATTCTGGACTGACCTGGCATTCATTAGCAGCACCACCAGGCCTGGGGGCATTTGGCTGACACGGCTGCCTGGTATCAACTGGCAGGGGGAAAACCAGAGGAGGGGATAGCAGTCTGACATCTAATCCCCTTTCCCCTTTGTTGGCTAGTTGATCTCCCAGTGCTATACCTTACACTGCCCGTGACTACAGTGATAGGGGCATCCACTGCTCTCCAGGAATTCCCAGTGACATGTTAAAATCAATTACAAACAAATACTGAAAGAAGGGGGAAGTGCCTATGGTAAAACTCTCACACCTTTCAATATTCTGGCCAAATTATCCAAGTCCCACTCCATACACACAAAACATACACACAGATGCATACAACAAAACAAACAAACAAAAAGGGGGAAAGAAAGGGGACAGGCCCAGCAGCTTCCAAGCAGGTGCCAAGCAGGTGCCTTATGGGCTATGCCCTTTGACATCCGCTCTTTGGCTGCTGCCCTTACCAGAAACCTAAAAAGGTTGTCTGGCTGTAAGTCTACTGGGCAACCCCCCCTTAGCCAGCAGGGCACTCTTCCTGCTTTCCTGGTTCCTTTCACTGACCTGGAAGTGGCTGGAGTGCACCTGGAAGCAGTAGCTGGAAGGGTGTGAAAGCTGGCACAGAACTGGCACAGGGCTGGCTCTGGGTTTGTGTGGTGGCTTGTTTGTACAGTAAGACCATTATCTAAACAAACCTTTAGGCCTGGAGGAAATTAATTTTGTTCCAGATTTTTAAATGTTAACACAATCAACCAGTCACGTTGCTTACTATTTCATCCAAAGGTTAAAGGCTAAAAAGTTAAATAGTTATTTCCATAAGTATATATAGAACATCATTTTCTTAGAACAGTAACAAATACTTAATACCACAATATCAAGTGACAATAAAAATAATCATACATGTTCATAATGCATTCTTCAAGTACCTATAATTTTGTAGCCAAAATACCATCATTTGGGCACAAGGAGTTATCACCAGCCTGGGGAAACTCCAGGGTTTATCGAACCCCCTTTCCCCACTGCTTTAAAAAAAAACTTCGGGGAAAACAACCTATGGTAAGAAAGCCCCTGAAAACAGAGCAAGTAGGAATGTGCATACAAAATGGGCATACAATGCTGACTGCCAGTTGAGAGAAGAAATGGAATGGAATATCCTTGAAAGGGGCATGAAAGGATGTGTGTCTTGAAAGGCAAAAGACACACATTTTGTTGGAGATTCCATCTGTACATTCTACTAGCAAACTCAGGTGCCAAATTATGATAGATGTATTGCCAAAACATGGCTATTGAAAAACAAAAGGTGTATTAGTAGGCTAGGAGAAGCCCCAGTATTTTCAGAAAAGGAGGGAGATGCTTTAGAGGGGGGAAAAAAGGTTAGAAGGCAAAAAATTGAAACCCACCCTAACCCTAACTCACTACAGCCTCATTGTGTGGCCTCTCCCAAAGCAGTAACCACTAAATACTAATGAGGCTGTGGAAAGAAGTAGACTGGGGGAAAGAGGTGGAATGCCTGAAATACTTTGTGGCTGGGTACACAAATTGTGTCAAATGCCATTATAACTTTTATTCTTTATTAATTTGTACTTTATCACTATGTTCTACATTTTCAAACAGAAATGCTTTCTGAAAACTAATTGATATTATCACAGGGGAAAAGCTTTTTCTATTTCACTTATGATAAGACACTGGTCAGAGAGATTTCGAGGAAGCTGGACAGGTCTGCTACAAGTAGAAAGTCACATTCTGCATTTGGAATAGGCTGCCCCCCCACTGCCCAAGATGGAGTCTGTTCCAAAGCTCTTTTTAACATGCATTTTAATCCTTTGTTTCATCCGATCTTAGCCACAGGTGGCACCATAGGGGAAGGAGTTTGTTCCCACATCTCCCCTTGTAGCCAGACCCTGAAGGTTACAGGAAGAAAGCTACATTTCACATACAAAATATTATCACTGTGTCATAAACTAGAAAATTAAAATAAGTCTGTAGTGCAAAATTTCAGTCCATTGAAATATTAACTCCATGAAAATCAGTAGGACTTATTCCAGACAATTATACTTAGGTTGAGAGCATTAATGTGTAATATACGGCTATTTCTTTTAGAAATTTGGGACAAAGCTGTATGTGCTTGGCAAAATATACTTTCCACCCTTCTTCTCCTAGCTTTTTTAAAAATTGGTAACACCACTGCTTCTATCCTTACAACATTCCTGAGAGATAGTGTTGAGAAATGACCCCCAGGTTGACCATTATCAGTTCTCCTGGACCTCTTGGTAGCTTTGATAACATTAACCATGGTGTCCTTCTGGATTGCTTGGTAGATTTTATGGGGCACAATGGGACCAGTCCTATCTCTGGCCTATCTGAGAAGCTGGATCTAAATCTACTCTGCTCTAATAAGCTGTACAGAATCCACACTTGGGGCCAACTTTTTTAATTTTCAGAACATGGCTGAAACTGTGCTATTGGTATTACAGCAAGAAATTGAACTACAGCCAGCATATTGCAAGAGGTCTTGTGACTTTGGAAAAGCATGCCACCCTTGTGACCAATAAATGTTGACTGCTACAGGTGACATTCTGATTCTGTGCTACCACAATGACAGACAATGACAATGCATGTGTATAGGGTTCTGTTCTGCTCCAGACATTTTTGTAAACCCATGTGACTTCTTTTTGCAACCCATCATTGTCTTGAGGGTAGATTGGGAGCCTTTCGGCAATGATGAATGTGGCAGCTTTTTCACATCTTCCTCTGCTGCAGTTACTTTTCTGCTGCTGGCTGAGGTCACAGGGCTTCTGACTAGCTTGTCCTCTTTGGCTTCTGCCTCCCACATAAAAGGAATCAGCATTTGCTTCCTACAAGAACCAAGAAAAGAAAAGAAAAGAAAAGAAAAGAAAAGAAAAGAAAAGAAAAGAAAAGTCAAGTCTGATTTTGCTTACTTGTTTTGCCTGGCCCTTCCTGGAGAGCCATTTGTTTCATTTGTCTGTTTGTCCATAGCTTCCCCACTTGATCCACCTCTGAGCAATTTGGATTAACGTGTGTCCAGACTAAATGAGAAGGACGTAAGTGGAGAAGAGTGTAGGCCTCACAGTGGGCAGTATCCAGTGGCATCATTCCACAAACTAGTCCTATAAGCACTTACCTTATGCACAGCCAGTTGCACAGATGAATACACATTCATTCATGGATTTCTGTCTTGTTCAAACAAGATTTCTGTCAGTGCAGTGTCATTTGGTGCCAGAAATATGCCTGGCACCCACACAAGAAAAAATATGCTATGTGGACTGGATTGCAGCCTTTGTGTTGATTCTTCCCACCCCACAACCCAAAATTTCCATTCTACAATCTGGGGTTCTTTGGACAAATGGATTATACACAGCACATAAAATGAAACTTTGTTGACTAAATACAGTAGTGTCTTATACTTCGAATTTAATTCATTTCAGGAGGTCATTCGAACTCTGAATTTTTTGAAGTCCAAATCAACCTTCCCAGACCCTAAACAGTACCCATTTTGACTAACAGCAAATATGCATAATTTAAGGTAACAAACACATTTACATGCCAAAATTAATTAAAACTTGAACACAATTAATAAAATATGTAAACATGTACTGTATAATAAAAAGAAAATTGCATTTACTGTACTGCACAAATGTTACACAAGAGACGTTTCACAGCAAGAGATGACTTGGGCACACAACAGATGATGTTTATGCAGTGACTGCATTTTTCCACTGTGTATGCAGTTCGAACGTAGAAGCATTGTTCAAACTTCAGTTCAACTTTATCTCAACTTTAGTGTTCAAACCCTGGATCGTTTGAAGTTAGAGTCATTTGAACAATGAGGTACCATTGTATACATATATAGGCAAATATGCCTAAATATAGTAACTAAACATAGGTCAGGTGGAGTAACACCTTGACCTAAAATTTCCATCACTCTTCACCATTACTCTGCTGGCTAGGACACAGGCCAAACCATCGGGAGGATATAGGAATGCATAAAATCAAAACCTTCTATAGGCTGTTCTTCTAAAACAGGCACTGACAAACCATAGTGCTTTGTTGCCTAAGGGGAAACTGGAATGTAAGACATGACAGTTCCTTCTGCACACAATGGAGCTGGCTTCTGTCTGGGTCTCGGTCAGGTATACTTGCCCTCTATTGTGCTACCATTCTTCAAAATCGAAATGGAAACTAAGACTGTGATTATTGTTTGTTTCATTTAAGAACATTAAAGGAACTGTGCTAGATCAGGCCAAGGGGCCATCAGGCCAAGCATTCTGCTCACACAATAGCCAACTGGTTGCCTATGGGATCCACCAGCAGGACATGAACTGCAACCATATCCTCCTGCCAAAGTTCCCCAGCCTGTGCCCACAGACCCATTCCCATCCTTTAGTGAAAGAGAACGGTCAACCAGTTGTTCCAAAACATATTTTTCTGAACTTGAAATGGAACCACTGAAGCTGCAGATGCTGCAGCTGTAGTCACCTCAGCAAAAGAAAATCAATTTTTTAATACAAGGTACAGCAATTCTTTGGAGGTGCATATCCTAAAATCAGTGGATTCTTTCAGATTAGTGGAAATTTTATAGGTGTGCTCATCTATTCTGTCTAGGTCAGCTGCTGTAAATGAGAGCTGCTACTACAGACTTCCTGTCCCAGCACTTTTTCTTCCCTTCTAGATTGAGTTCTATTGCTCTGTTCTACAGAGGTCATGTTTGGTGGCCCTCCATTAGTAAAGCTAACAGGCACATTTTATTTATTTATTTAAAGTTTTTATATGCTGTCCCAATACTAAAATTCTCTGGATGGCTTACAAAAAACAAAACAACCATATACAACAACTATGGAGAGGGCCTTCTCAATTGTTGCTTATGCTACACAGAATTTCCACCCAAGAAAATATATGGCTGGTGAGTGCCTGTAAGAGAATTTCTTCTCTCTGGCTTTATGTTTTACATAATGTGCTGCTGACTGTTAGCTTGAAACTGGTTTTTATGGGAATTGGTCTGATTTAAAAATAGTTGTTATTTAATAAGCATTTATTAATATTATTTTGCTTGCTTTGTTCTTATGCTGTAGGGTGCCTTGGGAACACTAAGGTCTTAAAAAGTAGCTAAGGAATAGAACACATAAATGAATAACTAAGAGTTGAACTGTGATTGGCAAACAGTTCTCAGTCTCATTCCACTATCAATAGTACACAGGTTATCTTTGCCATAAGTGAAGCAACAAGGCTCTACTGACAACAGCATGTACTCAATTTTAATAGAAATAAAGAATTATTTCTATGTGAAATCATCATAAAAGACCATTTTTCCTAAGAATGACAAATCTGAAACTAGATGATACTTCTTCAACTCTTCTAGTGCATATCAAATCATAGTTTCTTTGATCAAAGTCAAGCCACCATCTCATCCAAAGAGGTAAGAACCTCCCTGTACACAAAGTCTTCACAGATTATTCTCCTGGTGCATGTTATATCTACTTAGAAATAGGAAAAGGTAAAAGTACATATGTTTTCCACACATCCGAGTAATGACGCAGTCTTCAATCTCAGACAGGAAACTGATGCAAACAAATGCAATCAGTTGGCAGCAGGGAATCTTCATCTTAAGCCCTCCAGAACTTGCTACAGTAGTTGACTGGGGCCCTTGGTAGAAAGGTGACTTCCCTACTCTTGTTACATTTAGTGATCCCAATCTGCACAACTGTTGCTTCAGAAGAATTAGAAATCACTGCAGGCAATAAGATTTCTCCAGACAGCATTACTGTTACAAGGAACATTTGCACTCACATCACTTCCTTGCCTCTGCCCAAAGAACAGCCTTCTTTTTTAACTTCATTTGGAAACTAAACTAACTTCAGCCTTCACTAGGATCAATCAATATTCCTACTGCACTGCACAAAAGAAACACATGCTGCTTTAGATAGGTTTTCCTGGGTATACTGGGCAGGTTATGTTAGCAGGGATTGGTTCCTGATGTCTTTCAAAAGTGGAGCTAAAACTGAGCTATACTTATAAATGGGATACATTTAAGAGTGGTTTATTATGTTGAAAACTAAGCTGCATGACAAAGAGTTCTTTTTAAAGCAGATTAACTGAGTCAGCTTCTTAATAATGTGTGAATATCTCAAACTGTAAACTGAGAAGTTTATTTAAACCTCTCCCCCCCCCCCCTCTTCTGAAGTATTTGCAATTTTCTGAGCTCACTATTTTAAATAGAATTCTATCTCAGGCAAATAGCTGAAATTCCAGAGGATGAATCATAGAAATTTGAGGACAAAACTAATTAGGTCTCATCTTTTCAACAGTACTGGAATTTGCAAGGAGGTGGTAAGACACCATATGCAAATATGCAGGCAGATATTTCATTTTCTCCCATCTTCAGCTAGCCTGACCACAAGCCCACAAGACTTAGTCACCAGCAGTTGCACTACAGGAAAAAACTTAAGACTGGTTCAAGTGATGTGAGGGGGATTTATTTACGAGTAAATGGTTTCAAGATTGCCAGCTTATTTCTAAACATGTCCCAC